ACGCACAATTGGAGCGTTGTCACTGCTACCTCTGTACGGGTTGTTTTCCTATATATAGTATTCGAGAATATAACTATTCCTCTCCTGGAGTGCTTAGTTGGCGACTCTCTCCACCAGTATTATCACGCATCGGCAACAAGAGAGGACGCACGGTTACTAAATGTTCGCGCTTCCACGTGGTCCGGCACGCCCAGGAAACCGTCCGTGTGCAAGGACTCGAGGGCCGTCACTTAGGCTGGAGTGTTAGCAGCCCCACCCCGCACCAGACATTGTCAATAAAGGTTTTACTCCCTCACTACGCGTAGTTTCTCCTCAAACGCCAGAGGAGATTCGACTGTAGGATAGATGGAATATTAGAGACATCACGTGGTTCTAGTGGTCGGGGTCAGGTGGGTGTCGGTGACTTACCGGGTCGGTACACGCAATCGCCATGCGGCCAAACGCGTTGCATCGCAGCTTACGCGATACCACCTGTCAAGACGTGCCAGTTGAGAAATAAAACACGCACCCCCCCTCCCCCCTATGCATTCATTTAAGACGACTTCAAGACGACATCTTCATTTGTGTTTTTTTTTTTCTCACACGATGTATCCATCCCACTTAGCCTCTTTCCGGGAGATTTTTTGCACCGAACGTGGTTTTACACTGCCTCCGAGTTTAGAGGTACTGACCTGGATTTAGCACGGCCCCCGTGACCAGCCCAACGTTGACCAAGCGAAGACGTAATGTGACGGCGTCAAGGTGTTACGTCACGTCGTGTGACGTCATAGCAACATCATGACGACGTCGCAAATTTTAGCGATACATGACGTCGGCACATGATTATTTTTCATATCGCTATACTGTTGATATCCCCGACCTGCAACGCCGGTGGACAGTCTGCACTTTGGATGAGACATCTAAAGCTTTCGCCTTATTGATAAGACCGCGTGAACAGTTTTACAGGCCCCAGTGAACCACCTCTCACGTAAACAGCGAAGGCACGCGCACACTTTGTGGATTCCACATCCATAGACCCAACACTCATTTGCAAATCCAGGTGATGTGAACATCGCGTGAGGCGGTTAATTAGCTAAGACTTTGCACTCGAAGGCCACGCGTTTCACGGCATTCCTTCCGCTAACGTGCCGATTCGGGATATCGGCGAGACGCGCGAGCGCTTACTCTTTAGCAAACGCTGGTTAAACGCTGCCTGCGGTGATGCGAACCGAGCAAGGCATGGAGTGCTCTGGCATTTCGGCAGAACACAGATAGATCTGTTCAGAACGATTTCAGCGGGAGAAGTGATGGTATATGCGATCTCCAGAGGCGTGACGTTTAGTGCATATAAGCGTCTAGAACCTTTCTTGCAATAGCTAAAGTATATGACGTTAAAGACAGAGAAAGAGATAAATAAAGAGGAGGGAGGAGGAGGTACTAACCACTATACGATCACGGCTATCCCGGAGGACGATAAATAAAGAGGAAAGGCAAGCAGGTTAACCAAGCTTGGTTCGGTTGGCTACTCTACAGTTGGGGTAGGGAAAAGGAGAATAATAGAACGGAAAGAGACAGAAAAGAAGAGGAGTAAGAAAGAGAAGCATAAATAGTCAGCTCGAGACTACACAGCACAGCCTCGCACAGTTCTTTCACAAGCGGTCGTGAAGTCTGGTGTTCCTTAAGAAGTACTAAAGGGCTTTCGTGGCTTTGCGCGTATGGGAAGCCGTCGGCCAAGGTCCCAGCATCTTCTCTTCAGTAAGCGGCCGTGAATCCAGCTGACAGAGCTTGGCTTCCATAATACGTCGTTCAGATTGGCATGCTCGGCAATGGCATAGAATGTGCTCGAGCGTTTCTTCGCTGGCGCAGATGTTGCATGCCGAAGTGCTCGCCATTCCAAGGAGACGAGAGTACGCATTCGTAAATGCTACGTCCAACCTAAGGGCCAAACCTCATAAGCGCGAAAATGCACGCGACAGCGACGAGCGACGCTATGAGCGACGAAACCGGGCGTTCGCGCGACGTGTCGCGTGCTCGTTTTCGCGCGATCGCTCGGTTCTCCAGATTTGGAAACCGTCGCTCATCGCCCGGAAGTGCTGGGCTCAAGCAGCCAATAGCGAAATACCTGGAAAGACAGACTACATAGGTGCACGTGACCCTGCCCGAGTCACGTATGCGCAACAAAAAATAACGCAATGTTTATTACGCATGTGCATATAAAAAAGTGCTGCAAGGCAATGATAAACACTTTCCGTTTCATTACACAACAATATATCTTATTTATAAATTGCATACCGCTCGCTACGCGGTTTTCTTGGTGCGAGTAGACGGCCTCATGCCAGCAATAGTCGAATTCGCTCGCCGAAGCCGTCGCGTGAATGAGGTTTGCCTGCGCTAGCGACTGATCGCGCGAAGCCGATCTACGTCGCGTCGCTTGTCGCTGTCGCGTGCATTTTCGCGCTTATGAGGTTTGGCCTTAATGCTGCACAGTTATGACGTTATGTCATACTACTTACTAGTAGGCATAGTTTAAGCTGGTGTTGGTGCTACTGATCATCCTCTGTTGTTTTCGTTTTTCTTGCCTTAGCTAAACTCCCAATCGCAAAGTGAAGAGAAAGAGTGGCCGTCTTGTTGTTGCAGGAACGTACCCTTCACTGGTATGAGCCTTAGGAGGGTATTAATCTTTATGGTCCCTAAAAACGGCGTCAGCCTTCGCCTCAGTATACATAGAGTGTACTAGCCACACCCAGCGAGTTCAAAACACAGCGCGCGGACCCTGAGCTCTGCAAATGGGCCAATGCGGCGCACACTACAGACACGCGTAGGTTGGAGGCATGCGGGCCGAAAGCTGTGACGTAAGCACGCAGCTTGTTTCGTTTCGCGAGAGACGCCGTGACGCAAGCGGCGGCTCGCGAAACCACAACAGGAGTTAAGGGCGCGGAAAGTATGAGCTCGTGGCGTTACTGACAGTTCGACCGAGGCGCCGCTCTTCATACGTCAATGCACTTGGGCGGCGTCCAAAAGAGCCGCCTGTCAAGCGGTGTATATCGCTTTTCACCCAGCAGAAACGGTTTTCTTTATTCTTGCACCTTGAGCGTTACATATTGAGAGATCGGCCGAAGCTCCAAGGTTCTGCCTCGCACCACTTAGTGTCAAACACTCTACTTTAATGGTTTTGCACATCAAACGACTGCGCAATTGGTTGTCCATGCTGCTGGCGAGTGTAGTTTACGTAGGTATGCATATAAATCACAATGCTATACGAGTTAAAAGTGCTTATTCAAGAAAAGAAAATTCAGCGCCTTTTCTCTATACATTAAAGACCGAAGCCAGCGAAACCAGCCACTGCTGTGCTATACCTTCTGCGGCATCAGCGTCACGTTGTTTTGGCGCAAATTCGCGCCTCTGTGCGCATTGACACTTCCATTGAAGCTCTTCGTGGAGCGACCTAGTCCGTCCGACAGCGAGACCGAAGAGAAGAGAGAGAGAGATATAAAGATGCAAGGAAAGGCAGGGAGGTTAACTAGACGCACATCCGATTTGCTACCCTGCACTGAGGAAGGGATAAAGGGGAGAAAAGAGGTTGCAGAAAGATGAGAAGGTACACACAATCACGAGCACACTCGGGGAGCACACACAGTCTACAGGCGGTCACTCAGGTTTGTTGACTTGAGGTAAAGTAGCAGTGCTTTAGTTGCTTTCTGCGCAACTGAGGCAGATGCCCAAGGTCCTAGTATCTTCTGCACACAGAATGGTCCGGGGTCAAGTCGATTCAAAACCATCCGGAGCTGGCATCGCTGTGTGCCGTAGCAAGCGCAGCTGCAGAGGACGTGTTCGATGGTCTCTTCAGCTCCGCAGTAGTCGCATGTAGGACCGAAGAGAAACTTAAAAACAAAACTAATGGGATTTCTACGTCACGAGTCATAGGCCCGCCGATTGGTGGGAAGTGCCACCGCCGAGCATCGGGACACTTGCGAAAGAGGCATCAGTAGCGGCGAGAGGGCGCAAAAATTGTTTTTCTGCGTATTTGTTTGTCTGCGCCTGCGATCCGCCAGAAGCTCGTGCCCTCGCCACACAGCCGCAACACACGTGCCGGCACACCTGCCACACCCAAGCGGAGGCTGAAAGAGCATCGCGAATTGGCTGATTTGTCCCCCGCTTGCGTGCGGCAGGGGTTTCGCCACGTGCGTTGCGGCTGTGCGGCAAGCGCGTAGAACGGCCCTTAGAGCCATGTCTGAAAAACAAAAAAAAATGCCCCCGTATCTGCATGTTACACTGCAAATGTCGTCGAAAGACGCAAGTGAACAAAGCGTTTATTTGATATTCTGCAGAATAAAATTGGTAAATGGTATTCTGGAGGCACTGAGTTAGAGTGCCTCGATTGTGCAGCGCAGGCGAACGAGCGCATCAAGTAGCGTCATACGTGAGACACGAGCGCTATCTGGCAGTTAACTTGGAAAAACGAAGCGCGCACGCCCTGCGCGCCCGTCTCGGAGGTGATAAGGTGTAGAACGCAACGCGACGGGTAGGTGCCACCACCATCTCGTCTTAGCAAAGCATTGGAAAGACTTGCATTTCGTGCAAGCGTTGCATGGTCAGCGCAGCGTGATAAAAGCTACGGTTCTTAGAGTTACTTATGTATGCTTTTTAGTAAAATACACACAAAGAATATTTACGTGTTGTTATGGTGGCTCAGATATGCGCAATTATTGCTTTTTATTTGACAATCGCACAAGTATGAACGCCGGTGGGCGCTGCGGATGGGGTCGGCCGTCTGGGGTATCGTCTGGTGCTTTTTAGGATATCGTTAAGGGCGGACGGACGGACAGACAGACAGACAGACAGACAGACAGACAGACAGACAGACAGACAGACAGACAGACAGACAGACAGACAGACAGCAAAACTATTGCATCGAACGGGTTCCCAAGAGAACTTGACTATCATCTTTAAAAAAAAGAATGAGTGCAGGTAACACGATACCTTCACTGTGCAGATTCGAAGAAAGCAGAGGACGGACTCACCGCAGCCATGAGTGTGAGTATGTAGTGCTTCAGGTTCTTGCCGTGGTATCGCGCCATCTTGCTGTCGGCCGCCACGAGCACCTCGACGTGCTGCTCGAGAGAATAGGAGCGCTTCCGCCGCCGCCGCTTCCGCTGGCTCGCGCTGCCCCGCTGCTGGCTGCTGCTCCACGAGTTCGAAGGCTCCTCAGCCTCCGCTGCTGGGGCAGATGCGGAAGAAAGAGAAAGGCACGGTAACGTGAGGAACGTACGTAGAGATGAAGCTTAGTTACGGTTGGGAACTGGTAAAGATTAATGAAAAAATAAATTGACACGCAGATACGGGCACAAGAGAAGAGACCGAGGCAGCACAGGCACGGTTCAAGCAGAGACACGTCATGGCAGCAGCAGAAGTCTTTGGCTAATGCCATAGACGACTCATCAAACGCTAAAAATTGCCGACGTCCCGCGTCCCGCGAAGTAGCACTGGCGGGCGGGTTCTTTTGATCGAGGAGCAAGGTTGCTGCTCCAGCCACTTGTTCGCGGTTACAGTCATGACAGATTCACTGGCAACGCTGCCCATTCTCTCTAATAAGTCTTAGCCAACTCCGTTTCAAGCTCGGCTATTTACGACGCATACCGGCGGGAGTAATATAAACCATCCACACCCTATCATAGTAATGCCCTGCACTCATCCTAAACCAGCTTACATTTAAAGAGCTAGGGCAACTCAGCACCAGTAGTGCAACTCAGCAGTAGGGCAACTCAGCACCAGTAGCTCCGCTGCCTGAGGTAGCAGCGGAGCTGGTAGGGATTCCCTCTCCTCATCACCCTCACCTCCCTACTTCTACATCTATTTTCTTTCTCCTTCGAGATTTTTGTAACTATCTTCACTTTCTTACTGTACACCTTTCGCTTTCTCTTCCTATGTATCTATCTCTCGCTTTACATGTGTTTCTCTTTCTTGCCTGTTTCTCTCTTTCTCTAACTTTGTATGGCTGTGTCTTGAATTCTCCTTTGCTTTCTTTTGCACCTCCTTTCTCTCGCATCCCAATCTTATTCACTTGGTGTTTTCTGCTCTTCTAGCTTCGGATGGTCTATACGCGGTTTCGAATTTCACCTGGAGAAGAAACCTTTTCTCCTAAAATTCTTCTTTCTGTATATTCTCTTCTCTCTCTCTCTCTCTCTGTACTCATTGTCTCGCCGATTGTTTCCCGCTTAGCAGAAATCAGCGCTTGTTTTTTATCTTTTTTCTCGAAGCGAAGCAGGAGATGCCGATTACGAAGAAGGGGACGAAGAAGGGGACGAGGACAAAGCACGCGCCAGTTTATGATGTCTTTATTCGTTTATTCGAAGTATACCTGCAGCCCTCGAAGGCGTTATAGCAGGGGGGGGGGGGGGGTTACAGATTCGAAAGAAACAAATTTTCATTTACAGCAGACACTTGTACACTTGTGAGCCCATTCCACTCATGTATTGTTCTGACAAAAAAAGAATTTGCAAAAATTCCAGTCCTGGGACGGTATTCCCTCAGTTTAAAAGGATGATCAATTCGATTTGACAAATAATACGGCGTCTGTAAATACATATCCTTATTGATTCCAGGCCCCGCCGCGGTGGTCTAGTGGCTAAGGTACTCCACTGCTGACCCACAGGTCGCGGGCTCGATTCCCGGCTGCGGCGGCTGCATTTCCGATGGAGGCGGAAAGGTTGTAGGCCCGTGTGCTCAGATTTGGGCACACGTTCAAGAACCCCAGGTGGTCGAAATTTCCGGAGCCCTCCACTACGGCGTCTCTCATAATCATATGGTGGTTTTGGGACGTTAAACCCCACAAATCAATCAATTATTGATTCCAGTTTTATTATTAAATATTAGATATAAAAGTTTTAATCGCAATTTTCTTCTACGCCATGAAAGCAGCTTCCAATTCAATTCTTGTTTCATAGCGGTAGAGCTTCCCCGCCATTGATACCGTCCCAGGACGAACCTTGCCGCCCTGTTCTGTATTTTTTCTATCTTATCACTAAGATATACCTGCGCCGGATCCCACACAGCGCAGGCGTACTCTAAGACTGGTCGTACACACGTCAAATACGCACATTCTTTAAGTCGCTGATGCGAACATCGCAAGTTACGCTGAATAAAATTTAACACCCTCGCAGCTTTCGCGACAACATAATCAACATGTACATTCCATGAACAGTCAGAAGAAAAGAACACACCCAGGTATTTGTAAGTTGTATTCGTGGTAACTGGCACACCATTTATACAATATCTAAATTCGACCTTCTTTGTCTTCTTTGAAAAACAAAGGTTAATGCACCTATTAAAATTTAAAGACATTTTCTACGTTGTACACCAGTCATGAATACGCACCAAGTCATTTTGAAGTTGGGAGGAATCCTGCTCACTCTTAATTTTCCGGTAGACTATACAGTCATCGGCAAAAAGCCGGATAGACGATGAGATACCAACCGAAATATCATTGATATAAATTGAAAAGAACAAAGGACCCAAAACGGAGCCCTGTGGCACACCTGATGTCACGTCAACATAACTGGATGCTTTTCCATTCAAAACAACACATTGGCTGGCGACAACACGCGAACTTCTTCGAGCTACACAACTTCACTGTTAATAATCATTCATCGTACTGAGCCAATAACTACACATTTGTCTCACATGCAATGACAATAGGGCCATAGAGTCTCATATAAATACACCAGAGACAACTCTGGCGCTTGTGTCTATGAGAGCTGCAACGCACGGCGTTTCAGCAAGCGTGGGAATAATGGATAGTACAGGAATTTGTCAAATCTTCATTCTTCTGGCTCCGTTTGGCTTCGCGTCACTTGAAGCGGCTTCGTCGTGAAATAAAAATTAGCAAACGTTCAGCAGTTACACTTCGCTACCTTAACCTTTTAGTTTCACCATTTCGAAGTTCAAAGCCATCCGTTCTTTTATTGGAAATAAAACCAAAACACTACGAAAACCAAAGCTTCAGGTGCGTTCAAAGCGCGCAAACACAATGACTGTAGGTAAATCCATGTACTACCCATAATTTACATGATCGCTGAACGATCGCAGCGCCAGAGTGCCCCGTACTTAATTTTAGGAAATTCTACGAATAAGCCTTGACATGACGCGAGTGAGCTTATTCGTCCCGCTTGATCGTACTTTAGGAATGGTTGCTCATTTGTCCTGTTCAGGACAAATGAGGACAAATGAGCAACCAGACGGTATATAAAGGTATACGAAGCTCTGATTACGACTGTATAGGTAAGTTGAGAAGTGGGCAGCTCATAGTGTTGGTCATTCCAAAGTCTTCAAAAAGGCACCACGCAGGAAGAGTAATGAACCAACTCAAAGGAGAAAAAAAATCCCAACGAACACAAGCCGCGCGAATACAATCCACAACCGCAGAAACGGTGTCACTGCACTGTTCGATCATATAAGTAAAAGTATAAATAAATATCAGCATGTCAGGTAATACTTGCTTCTTCATATTCTTGATTTTTTTATTTGAATTATTCGTATACCCTTCTTATCTACATGCCTGCCACCACGGCATTTCTCATAAGTTCCTTCTAAGAACTGACCCTTTGCTTGTTAGGCATTTTCGTTTGTTAGAAATTTCACTTTTCGTATATGTTTCTATAGTTTACTTCAGCCTCACTGGTCTTTAATTTAAATGTCTTGCCATGTGGTACTCAGTGTTTCCCTGCTTGTAGGTGAGAGCCACCAGAAATGTGTCATCATCATCATCATTAAACCCCTTCATTGGGGTGGCACTGAGGTATTGTAAATAAATAATGCAAATAAATCATCATCATCATCCCCACCACCACCACCATGTGATTGGCACTTGCAGTGTTTATCAGCGCGTCTCATCGTAGCCCCTTAATTAATATTACGCTCATTAGTGCATTCGTAGCGAACCAGAAGGGTTGCAAATGTCATCGTTACAAATAATTACGCTTTATCAATGATCATCATTGACCCGAATGAACGTGCACTGCTCGCGGGCACGCGCGAATCGTTAAAAATCATTCGTTCGGTCAGATTTCCGTCGCCGATCGCCGGCTCGACGAGCTCATCAAAGAAGACGCAGGATCTCGACAGCGCGCTCGCTACGTGCGTTCTCCAGCAAGGCGTCGGTTTACAGAAAGAGCATCGAGTCGTACAGGTGAGTACATTTGTCACTGTAGTATAGAGCTTCGAAATTTCGCGTCTTCAGTTTTCGGTCTCCAGGGTGCCATCCTGGGCACTGTCTCAACTATATACGGCTTAATGTCGAATTCGCCGGTCTTGTCACCTCTCAAAGGAGGTGTCTTGACAAAGCCCTCGTATCGTGCTGACTCGTTCCCCCCCCCCCCCACCTCCTTTTTTTTTTTCGTTCAGGAACCTTTATATTGCATATACATCCCGTTGGTTTATTCGCTTTAATCCACGATTCTGAATACCAAGAGCGAGATTATTGAAGCAGATTGTTCAAAATTACTGGTCTAACAAAAAAGATCCCCGGCAAATTTTCATTGGATTCAGTGTTGTCATTAACCAGAATTAACGAACTGATTTAACCCCAAAACTCGATTCAATGAGGTATTTCCTGAGGTAAACGAGCGAAAAAGCGGTGACTTCATTCTAATTTCGACTGATGCGAATTTTTATTCGTGCGTGCCTAACGCTATCGCAGTAGAATATCTATAGATGCACTGTCGACGGTCCTGGCGTTATACAAGCGAGGCTTCACGCACCGCCAATGTACGGAGGAACGAACACTGAAGACAGTATGACCCTTAGACATACCAGATGATGATAGACGCGGCATGGTTGCATTGGTTATTTCAAGGTTTGTGCAACAAACTGCGACAAACTGCACTAATATACACCACGCACTTTTGGCGCTTGGCCTGCTCTCAAAGTCTCGCTATTCGTTTTCCGCGCGATCGCACATCGGTAGCCTGCCACAGCTTCACGTACCTGACCCACGTTTTCCGGACATGTCTGGGCCTCGCCCAGGAAAGTTTTATGCGACCAGGTGAGGTCTGGCAACTAAAGCCGTGTCGTGGTACCTCTTGAGTGTCATCATCATCACTTATTAACTCTAAAGTGGGAGGGGGGCGGTGCCGAGGGTCACAGAGTAGAAATGAGGGATAGTTCAGCAAATGCTTAGCACGAAAACCCAATAGCGTTAAAGAATGCAAAACACGCAAGATAAACAAATATTTTACAAAGAATGTTCGCTAAAACGAGGCGTATAGTAGGTTGATGGGAGGAAGCGAAAATTAAAATCATCGACAAAAAAAAATGAACTACGTATTTCATTTTTTTTTAAATATCGATGAGGTTCTTTCCGAATATTACAACATTCTCGATTTAACGAAATAAATCAAGCGGGACGATGTTCCTTTTGTTAAAATGAGTTTCAACTATATTTTATATTCCACCGGACAGGGGAAACTACGATGGCCACATTGAAGAGAACCGCCAGCAAGCTTCAGCACGAAGGCCGCGATCAAAAGCACGCAGAGCCACATGGGCAGGGGCAGCCAACTCCGAATCCGAACCCAGCGGCAGCGGCGGCGATCGCGTTGCGTCCCAGCGGGTCCCGCGACAGCAGCTCTTCGTCGTCGGCTTCGTGGAGCACTAGCATGCCCGAGGAGTACGGCACCTTGGACTCGACGAGTACGTCGACCAGCACGGCCACGTTGAGGAGCGGAGGAAGAGGCAAGCGTCGGCACAGCGACACCGCGTACCGCGGTCGCAGAAAGCGGTCCACCGACACCGGAACCGAGACGGAGCCGCAGGAGTGAGTTTGCCTGACTGACTTCACTCACCGAAGGCAAAGAACACACGTATGGTGCTAAGAGGCGGTATAGTTTGCTTAACTTTCATTTCAAGTGTCCTCGTGAACCACGAACTATGAACGTTGTTTTTCTATTTTGGGAGCCCAACATAAAACAAGTATACTTTAGACCTCAAAGTGGTACCTTAATTTCATGAAAATCTCTATATGTAATCTCGAGCATTTTCACGAGCACGTATATTTATCGTAAAGCACACACGCGTGGCGCGGCATAACAGTGTACACGATGCTGGCCAAAAGTCGCCATTATCTAACGCAGCCTGCGAACATTTGACCACAACTGTGCCGCCTGCTAATCCACTGAAACACTAAATTCGCGGTGACCATGGGCCACAGGCGCCCCAATCCTGTTTCGCCGACCCCCATAGCCACACGGTTCTTGGGCAGCTAATTGGGGCATTCTAGTGAATGTGCGAACTGCGCAAAATTAGGGAAAGGACGACACAAAAAAATACGCACGAGACAAACAAGCCAACTGGTGCCGACGTTGTTACATCTCTGACAGACGTACCTAAGTCACCAAGGCAATGTTCCTCAAGACGACAGTCGGGTGAATGCGAAAGAGAGTAAGCTGAAGTGGTTGCTCAAGCAACTTGTTACGACGTACTTCACATGAAAAAAAAAAAGACTGCAAAAGACGAACGACTTAAAAAAAAAAGGGGGACACAGGCAGTAGCGAAGCCGACTATGTCGATCTTTTGAAGCGTAAGCTACACATGCCGAGCCTGAACAGCTTCGCGTGCCTCATGCAGTGCTGCACATGCGCGAGGAGTACTGACGTCACACGGCGCACAACTGGCGTGCTGGAGAACATAGAGTTTCTCAAAATTAACTAGAGGGCACTCTGGCGCTGCGATCGTTCAGCGACCATGGGAATGATGGGTAGTACACACATCTGCCTAGTCTTCGTACTTGCGGGCAGCGAATCGTACTTGCGGCTTCGTTTGATGCTGTGTTTCGGCTTTGTTTTCAAAGAAAGATTGAACAATTTTGATCTTCGTGAGCCAATTTGGAAAGTAATTCCTAAAAAAATAAAATGGTGAAGCACAACCGTTGAACATTTGCTAATACTTGTTTCGTAAGAAAACAGCTTCAAGCCACACGAACACACACGGAGCCAAAAGCAGACCAGAAGTACTAACATTAGACAAATGTGTGTACTACCCATCATTCCCGTGCTCGCTGAAGCGCCGTACGTTGCAGCTCCCTTAGACACTAGCGCCAGAGTTCCCTCTAGTAAGTATCGTGGGAAACTCTATGCTGCAGAAGGCCTGGAAATCGCTAGAGTGGCGTTGTCACTATAGTGGCCCGGCGCATGACCCGCGCGAGCTTGCTCGCTAGTCCACCCGTCCATCCAGCAGCGAGCATGATAACAAAGCTAATCCTAGACAACCGGAAAGCCTACAAGAATAATGAGCCGAACCTTAGCTCACGCTACGTATATCCTGGCACAGCCAAGCCAAGCTACAGCTCATTTTTGTCTAGACATCTGTCCTTCGCACTGTTTTATGAGAAGATAGTAAACGCCTGCCATGTATACGCATCGCGCACTGTAAAGGAACTCGGGGTTGATAACGCTGTCTCAGGCTGTTCAACCCCGCTCAACAAAAAGTTGTTCTCGATGCTTCCTGATTCCGTCGAGTTCCTTGTAACGCGACCACAGCGTTACAAGGAACGTCTGAACCACATGCAGGACGACGTCGTGCTTTGTGCTCCCGACGAGACGCTGATATCAGGATGAACACATTCTTGCAGACAGGCTCACGCACAATGGCGCTTGCCAAGACAGAACATGCCGGGTACAAACGTAACAGCACGTAAGCGCCATGCCATCGAGTGCACACAACTTACTGTCGTCACTTTCTCCTAACTCACTCACGCCTGGGTCCTTTAAATTGATTTCGGATAACGAACAGAACCCCCGTCCAGTCGATCGTACCCACTTTTTTTGTTTATTCGTTCTTTTCTCGGCAGTAAAAGGGGCACCAAGTTCTGGATTTACACCGTGGTGGCCACCACGCTCGTCATCGCCACGACCAGCGCTATCGGCATGTCGCTGCGCGCAACCGAAGCCGCGACGCCAGAGCCACCGGAGTACACCCTGCCCAAAGGTGTGACGGTCACCGTGCCGACAGCGCCCAAGTGTAACTGCGCCACGGCGGGTCCCGGCAGCTCCGAACCAGGGAGGCGTCGGCGGCACTCGAAGACCGAAAGCCCGGACAAGTTGGCGGCGAGCGGCGGCAACGTCAGCGACTGTCGAGCGCCTCGACGACGAGAAGGGGGAGGACGCCGTGCCAGATGACGGCGTGCCGCAGAAGGTGAAACGCGAGACGTCAATTTCGCAAGCTCATTTGACTAGCCCGTTCTCTTATGTTCATCTTGAAATCTTCATCTCACTGAGGGCATCTCTCCGCCACATAACTGAAACAGTGTATTCACAGGTCCGATTGTCTCTGGAAGTACTCAACTTCCGCACTATTTCATACGCTACACACTGACAACAGTGACAGGTTCTTCCATTGGCTCATCATGGTTATTAATGTGGCCTTAACTATTGATACTCTGAGCTGTTGTTGGTTGTAATCTTCATTATTATCACTGCAACAGTAACGTGGTGAAAAATTACAGTGAAGTAGAAGTGCTTCACATCTAACCAAACGCTTGAGTTGTCTTGGCTAACAAGCTTATTATGACCTACCACCTATACATACAGCGATACAGCGGCAAGCTGTCCTCTCTTATGAATGCTATCGAATAACGCCGCCTTTCTCGTCCTTGCGTCAACTATGTGCACCCTCAGCCCTTTCCCCCCTATACAGAAGCTTCGAATTCCTCAAAACTCGCAGAAGGTGGCCGGCAAGGCTACGCGGTCCCTCGTCGCGTTCAAGATCGGACCGGGACGACCAAAGAACGTCGGCGAGCCAGCCACTTCGCCAAAGCACGCCATTCGAAACCGCACAAGCGCGCGAAAGACGTCAAAGCCGCGCGCGAGGCGACGAGAACAACCCCGGTCCACGAAGACGCGGGCGACGGTCAAGAACGCCGCCAGAAAGGAAGAGAGCACCACCAGCGCTACCTCGAGGACTTCACCTCCTGGGTCCACGAAGACGGTGGAGTCGTTCGTGAAGCGCGAAGTCAACGAGGCGGCCGACTGGGAGCGTGAGAGACCGCCAGTTAACGCTGAACGGCGGTCGTCGAATGCTGCGGCGAAGCCTAGCGACGGCGCAGAGAAAGGCGGCGCCCTCAACGCGGCAGCGCGCCACGCCGCGGGCACTGCTGTGTTTACTAAGCGTCGAAGACGCGGCTGAAAAGAACGGAGACAACGCGTGCGAACGTCTGAAAGGCGGGCACAGATAACCACAGCCCTCGTAGCGGTCGTGAACCGATTGCTAATAAAGACAACTAGTAATTTAAAGTAAAGGCTAGTAATGGTGCACGGTCAACAACGTGTCCGCTTGATTTGATCACCCCACTACAATAAAATATCTGTTACAAGCATGGTGAGCATTATATATAGGTAAGATCAAGGTTAGAGAACTAATTAAATGCTTCGCAACATCATGGAAGAACGAACCATGCAACCCGGAGTTTGAGAGTACAGATGTTTGAACATTTGGCGCACACGCTTAAACAAAGCTGAATGTGTATAAACAAAACCGCGTTCTAATTTCTTCTGCACATTCGCAGCACCCACCGTTTTTTTTATTCTTTAGACAAAGCAGATGCTAACGATGACATATGTACGGCGCTCCCCCGAAAAGGGGAAAAACTCAAGAACCAGGCGGCATGACTGCGAAGCTAATATAAAGCTGGAAAATTAGTTTACAATTAAAATTTTGCATAAATGAAAACGTTTATTGAGCAAGCGGTCAGACCATCTAAGCTTTCCGATTACATAACGACGAACTTCAAACCAAGAATTTGAATAGCACGGTAATCTTTTTGTCGCTTTGATGCATTCTAACACAGTATAGCAGACATCCCTGTGCGAGTAACCTAATGAAAAGCCACCAAGTGATAATATTACTGTATACATTTACTGCTAGTACAAAGTTCTGAAATGCGGCTTCTAGGAATCTTTTTCTCTGACGAGGGTATTATTCGACATAATAAAAATAAATGTTCAACTAATTCTGAACTGTTGCTACCGTCTTCAACCATACCGAGACAAAGCTACACATAACAGGCAATCTTATTTTCTGAGGAACTTCTTCTTCACATATCCCAAGAAACATGTGCCGTATTGAACTTTATAGGTTAGCAACTGTGAAAAGACCGCAAACAGCAATCGGCAATGTCATCGACATTCAGGAACGCGCCGCACGTGCACGCCTCGCGGTGCACTCGAGCGAACGCTCAACGCGTCGGGACACGTCGCCATTCCACTCGGACTCGCCGGTCACGTCGGTTGCAACCTGTCCCAGCTCCCAAGCTATCGGCACTGACCTCCCTTCACTGCGTCTTCGAGCACCCTGTCCTCTCTATCTTCCATCACGGTCCAGCATCCCACGCCACGTACGATTATCCCCTTTATACTGAGTTCCAGAGCCCTGGCCTCCATCTTCTGCCACCGTGGTCCAACATCCCGGAGCAGCAGGAGAAATGTCCATCGTCATGGTGGGACCGTTCCCAGGCCCGTTCGACAGGTCGCACTACTCGGATTCGTGCAGCGGCAACCCGACAGACGCCCAGCCGCGCCCACCCAACGCTCAAGGTCTGGGGCAGCGACCATCGCGGCCCACAGACCCGCACCTCGCTTTGCTGCAGGAGCAGGAGCCGCCGCGGACGTCGGGAGCGCCACGAGACGTCGTCGCTTACAGCACGGTGCGGAAAGACTACGGAGCGCCATCGCCGGTATGTGCTTGTTGCGCCTTAACCCTACAGCGTAAGATGGTAAGCCTAACCACACGTACGCGCTACAGCACGCGGTTTGTTCACGTGGCGTCGCACCATGATCCTATCGAATGAAAGGCTGCGCACTTTCATGGAGTTGCACATATTCCTTCTCTATAAAAAAAAAAAAGCGACGCTCATAGGGAGAGGGCAGGCCATGCACCGACGTATTTCGCAGCGTACTTGTTGTTACGCGCCATTTCAGTCCCTTAACGTCTCCCTTCTAGCCCTCGGACGGGCAACCCGTGAGACGCACGTTTTATTCTAGCGCGCGTCGCCCCTATAGCGTGGCCATGACCATATGTCTCGATAGTGACTTGCTCCTCGCCCCCCGCCATCCACGGTGCCTGGCACCAGTGTATGGGGACGCCCTGTCCGCAGTCCGTTGTCGTGTTCACGTACATCCATTCATGCCTTGGCACGGGACCAGCTAACCACCGAGGCCCGCCAATGGACACCGATAGCATCGGACCACGGTGCATCGGACACTACACTGCACACACTATGCTTGCGTAGAGTCGCTGTGCCCAGCGTCTCTAATCGTGCAAGAAGGGAGGCACGCGTATTGCGTTCATTCTGACTGATGCCGTCTCAGTGGTCAGGCGTTCCGCGAACACACTTTAAAATGTGGTGTACTTCAACTTTTGTTGCGGCAATTTGACGCCGCCGTCATGCCCCGTATCGCACTCGGTACGATTTGCAACAGGCTGGCTGTGGTTCAGCCCCCGTATTCAGAAACACTCCTTGAGTTGAACATTTTCCACAGCCTCGAAACAACGCGTTTGAAACATGCTGATCGCACTCGGTATGATTTGCCACAGGCTGGCTGGCTGTGGTTCAAGTGACGCTAGCCCCCGTATTTAGAAACGCTCATTGAGTTGAACAATTGCAACCGCCTCGAAGCAGCGCGTTTGAAACGTGCTGCCTAGCGGCGGTGCAACGAGGCAATGCAGCACAAATGCGTTTCTGCGGCGTTGAAGGCGGTGGCAAGTCGTCAAAGAGCGTTTATGTATACGGGGGTATATCCCTCGTATTCAGATACGCTTTTGATCCCACCTCCTGTACATGCATAATGTACAGGGGATCAAACGTTCCCAGGCCACCATCACATGTATTATGTGGCAGCCTGGCCTGGGAAAATATGACACCCTGTTTCCCTGTAAAGCTACAAATAAAAACGTCAACAGAAAAAATTTTTGAAGCCCGCTACCAGCAATTCAAACCACGACCCCCCCCCCCCCCTTCACAGCGTGCTGACTTAGATAATAGTTTTAGCTTTGGGCGCGCTGGAAGCGCGGGGGATCACGGCGCGAACACCCAGTACGCAAACGAACGCACGGTTTCCGCGGGCATCCACAGATTGCGAAAAACTCCGTAGCGTCAGCTGCGGGCTCTGCGGGCTTTGCATGTCGTCTTGTTTGGGAGACGCGACGCACGAACGCTGACCCTTTAACCCGCTCGTAACTGTGGTTCATATAGTGTAACCCCCGTAGTCAGAAGCGCTGCTTGACTTGAACTTGCCACCGACTTCAAAGCAGGACGAACGCGTTTCGAACGCGCCGTCTTTAAGCGGTGCCAAGGCAACATAAACCCACAGACGCGTTTCAAACACCCAGCATTGAAGGCGGTTTCGAGTCAAGTTCAAATCAATTAAGGAGCGTTTCTGAATACGGGAGTAATTTTTCCTCCGCCCTCACAAAGAAGTGAGAGAGCAACTGTGCATACGGGCATGCGGAAGAGGATTAGACGCAATCTTCACCGCGGTGTGGTTGCGGAATCCCAACTAAATACAGTCGGCTCCATTCGTTCTCCAGGATGCTAACGGAAAAATGCAAGCGCAGGTTTTCGGGTTGTAGCGCACGCTATACTCTTGGGCGGTGGGCCACGAAAGAGAGCCCCGTGGTTCGTTCGTGGTGGTGCCAGCTCATGGAACGCTTTCGCTCTTGTATGCTTATGCCAAAGGACGGAAGATACGAGAATACTGAACCAGAATCATGGTACTTATCTTACATTGTGACCACAAGTCGATGTCGGCAAGGAATTCGAGCCGCGACTTCTTTCCACATGGCCTTGACACTAGGCAGTTTTCGAATAAAGTAAGCAACGCTTGCGGCCGTAGCGCTTGCGTTCGTCACTATACGGGGACCCGCAAGAGGTGAGCGTACGACACATGCGAAACGCAAACTCAAAGTTTTGCGTATGCTATTCGAAAACTTCAATTTCCTTCGCAAAGAAAGATTCGGCGCGTAGAACCTCGCATGTCTAGCAATTGAGGAGACATCTTCGCTTTTTTAATTTTTTTTTTACTCGAAACGCGGCCGTCGTACACTAAATAAACCATGTTTTTATATTCACAATCTTTTCGAACTCCGACACGTTAATAACCTGGATTTTGCCACTTATATGGCGGGATTTGACGTTGTTCGTTGTAGCGCGCAAAAGTATTGGAAGAGATGAGGCCACAAAACCAGGTACTGATAGGAATTCGGAGCAAGAGCAAAGCAGTGGTGAGGAGCAAGAACGCACATCTGCACTTATGCAACGACTTGTGTAATTAATGGCACAGAAATCAGTCACCTTGACTTCTTCGATACCGTTTCCTCCTCAAAAATAAAATCCAGCAAACTGACGTCACGATGCTTCTCTGCAGGCGTACGCACCGATGCCCAACCGGGAGTCACGACACGAGTCCCTGCCAGAGCCTCCCCGACCACGTCGCGCTTCTTTGAAACGCAAATGGTAAGCTTATACTTACGGCCAAAGCACCGTCCTATACACGACGTCGCATTTGTCATTCCTGTCTATAAAAGATGGCCGTCACGCGCGTGCATCAGTAAATCCAAGAGGCACCATACCATGCAGCAAGGATTCTATAGAAATAAACTAGAAACTCTTGAAACATAGCAACTAGGTGTCAGATAGCCCGCTCTTAGCCGCATTATGCTAGTTTAAAAAAAAACTGGATTTATATGTAGCCAGCCGCTTGACAAGGAAACCTCTTTTTGCAGTTATCTTCATAAAAACCTCCCCTGAACTCAAACGACCCTTACTCTGCATGGGACCAGGGCTTCATTGAGAGTGCTCGGGACTTGCTTTTACGTCTCCAACACGCCACTGCTAGTAAACTCATTGAAAAGTTAGCGAGCTTAATTTTATTGCAGATCGGTTCTACGGAATCCCCGAAAGGTGACAGAAAGGTAGGGGAGAATAAACACTGACAACCGTAGCAAGAAGCCGCGGGAGTTCCTACGAACGAAAGCTTCTTTTCCTCCACCTCACTGGATTCCGCAGGACGTGATTCTTCCCCAGCTTCGAGTTTTCGATGACTCCGCCTTTTTCCTGCCCATTGCTACCATCCTGGGTAGCTCATTTGGTAGAGAAAAAGCTTCCTTACCGCCACCTCGAGCAATTCTGC